GCGAGATGGCAGCTACAGAGGATCTTATGAAGAGTGAACACACAGATGATTCTGAGAAATGACAGCACTTCTGAGCAATAACAGGGTGAGAGGTGTGGAGACGTGCAGGAACACAGGCCTGGGGGCCTCAGTACAGAAGAAGAAACCCACAGAAACCACAGAAAGATGTGCTGCATGCTGAGCTTCCTTTTGTCTGAGATAGGAAGTGAAACAGGAGAGGTGTGTGACAGTTATAAGCCTGCTGTATCGCATTCAGCCTTTCGTAGTTTACAATCTTATTGAAAGCCCCGCACTTGTCTAGTTTTAAATGTAACCTTCCAGGTGATCTCTGGGTTTTAATTTAATCTAAATCTATTTGCATTTAACCCTTTATTGCACAATTATTTGACCACAGATATCAATACACTTTATATTATGCAACAAAAGACTGGTGCCTTTTGTGCTAGAATCTGATCTGTTAAATGATTTCTTAGAAATACATTTCATTTTACTTTACTATAACTGCATGCATTATTCATACAAACATTACACTGCAGAACTAAAATGTGACTAAATAAACTCAGTCAGCTTGACTAAGTTAAAAGTGGGTGAATAAATTGACTATGGCTGATGGACGTTACAGGAACAAGTGAAAGTGTTTCTTTTCTTCTCTTTTCCTGCGTGTTATCTGGAGCACAGTCTAACAGATTTTGTTTTCTATAAAAAAAAACGTTATAAATAAGACATCTAACAAAATATCAAACTATCACCAAATAAAAGCGTTCTCTTAGTGTTAGATGAAAGACCAGTGTTCCAGTTATCCCAGAGCAATCCCAGACAGCCAGAGTGAGGAGACTGCAGTCAGACTGGAGCACTGTCTCCTCTGCAGTCACACTGCCCTGTGGACGCAACACACAACAACACAGTTTGGCAATTTCACCAGTAAAAAAAGTGAAAGATTCTACACACATTATACTGAGAGAGCTGGACGGTACACACACCTTGTACCGAGAGATCTGGACTCTACACACACCTTGTACCAAGAGATCTGGACTCTACACACACCTTGACAATTGTACTGAGGGAGCTACACACTACACATACTTTACTGAGAGAACAGGACCCAACACACACCTTACTGATAGAGCTGTAGATTACACACACCTTGAAAAGAGAGAGCAAACATACACTCAGTACTGGAAGAGCCGGACAAGCCAGTAATCAAACAAGTGTGGTGAGTCCACACTCAGCACCACAAAGACACACTGCACTGATTGTGTGAAACTGGGGTCCCATATCTCACCTTCATCTTCCTCAGGGTGGAAAACCAGATCGCTGCCCTAATCATAATAACAAAACATTGTAATTGCAACTGTACTGATATGTTAGGAAAAGTTTTGGTGGTTGTTGTTGAAAGGGTTTAAGTCATTACATAGGAGTTGAAATATACTGATGTCAGCAAGTAGCTGAGGGCTAGCCATGTTAAGTTATTGTTTGTTTTTATAGCGTTATGATCCTGATGTTAAGTGAAGCGCGCAGTAAGCGTTGCTTAGGTCAATTTTTGCAAAGGAAGCTCTTTAGGACTACAAGAGGTAGTTATTCTTGTGTTGGTCCCTAACTCCAATGAAAAGAAAGGGGATGTGATTTTTGTGTGCGTCAGCAGTGAAACTGCATGTTGATTGGCGGAGGGCTGAGCGGGAATAACGGTTGCTCAGGGTAACAGGCCAGAGTGGACGCAGGAGCTAACGGGCTCAAGACGACAGGACAGGAAGAGCTCTGCGGGTATCTTCTCCTGGGGGTCGGAGAGAAGGGCAGAGACGTACACAACACACGGACACCGAACGCGGAGGAGGCGAAGGTACCCGAAACCCATCATGACCGTTTTGAAGCGCACGTTCAGCCGAAAACGAACGTTACGTTTTGCTCGATATAGATTTCACGAGAGAGTACGGGGAGCCGGCGAACCGGTCGGACAGTTTTGTGACAGAGCCGCGGCTCCCTGTGGAAAGACTGGAGTTACTCGCATAGTAAACGGGGGGTGGTAAGGGACCGCATCGTTTCCGGAGTACGTTCACCGACAGGGAAGAGGAAAGCCGTCGAGCGTCGGTTCGGAATTGACGCCAGACGGGGCCATAGGCGTCACGACTCGGCGCAAAACCCAGCCGAGAACGAGAAATGACGAGAGCGCAGGGACTCGCAGTTAAGCTGAGAAACCCGCTCGAGCAGGAGGCGCTAGACCGGAGTGGTGAGCCCAGTGCCACATAAGGCTCACGGCGAACAGGACGTTTGCCCGGCAGAAGGCAAGCGGCGCCTAACATGTGGCCCCTGCCGCCTCAGGTCGGCCCCTCCCCTTCGGGGGCTCGAACCCGGGACTCAACAGGGACCCAGCCCGGTGAGCTAAAGAGAGATCTCTCTACAGCCCAGTGGCTGTAGCCCTGCTATTACAGGGAAGGGCGGTGACGTCACCTGCTCTGGTAAGCCGGCTCTTACACACCACTGATGGCCGTAAGCGTTACAGCACAGACGGCAATAAAGTTGAAGTTAGATACAGGTGCTCAAGTTAACGTCGTTCCTCTGCTTGAATATGACACATTTAAAAGTGACGCTGTGCTGCAGCCCACGACTCGCAGACTTGTCAGGTTATGGCGGCAGGGCAACCCGCAGTACACAGACGCTGAGCCGCTCATCCCAGAAGTGCCAGAGACAGATTCACACTCCGCCTATTACCGCACTAAATCCGGACGCGAGGTGAAGCCCAGAACCGTACTGGACCTACAAATGTAAAGGGTGTAGGCGGCTCGCTGCCCTAATCATAATAACAAAACATTGCAATTGCAACTGTGCTGGTAGGTTATGAAACGTTTTGGTGGTTGTTGTTGAAAGGGTTTAAGTCATTACATGGGAGTTGAAATATACTGATGTCAGCAAGTAGCTGAGGGCTAGCCATGTTAAGTTATGGTTTGTTTTTATAGCATTATGATCCTGATGTTAAGTGAAGCGCGCAGTAAGCATTGCTTAGGCAATTTTTTGCAAAGGAAGCTCTTTAGGACTACAAGAGGTAGTTATTCTTGTGTTGGTCCCTAACTCAAATGAAAAGAAAGGGGATGTGATATTTGTGTGCGTCAGCAGTGAAACTGCATGTTGATTGGCGGAGGGCTAAGCGGGAATAACGGTTACTCAGGGTCACAGGCCAGAGTGAAGGTAGGAGCTAACGGGTTCGGAGTTACAGGTCAAATAATAAAGAGTTTGTTCGAGTGTCACATCGTCGTCCTGGGTTGTTAATTTCTACACTATATGTGTACAAGAAACAAGACAGGAACGGCATAAATGTAGGCAGATAACTCAGTCTCAGGACGATTCTGTTGATGCTTTTGTGAATGCACTAAGAGACCTGGCTAAACCGTGGGACTTTGGAGTATTGGAAGTTAATAAAATAGTCAAAAATGATATAAGAATGGCTTTTTATTAAGATACACAACAGAAACAAACAAGAACTTCACCGCAGCCCAGAGGTCCTGCCGGGAGCAGCACACGGACCTGGCCAGCGTGAGGAACCGGAGCGAGAACGAGGAGATCCGACTGACGGCGCGGGGTAACTACGTCTGGATCGGCCTGTTCGTGGAGCCCTGGAAGTGGTTGAGCCCGAGCAACCCCGCTTTCTACAACTGGGCAGACGGCGTCCCTGACAACGCTGCTGGAAACGAGGACTGTGCTTCACTGTTGATAACGGGCAGCTCCACGGGGTACTGGAGTGACACCGGCTGTGATCAGAGGCTGCCTTTCTTCTGGTTCAGTGGTGAGTCGATCGAGGGGTTGACGTGAGGGAGGGAGGACACAGCTGGTGTGGTTTGGGGGGGGGGGTCCATCTTGTGTTGTCACGCATCTCGCGTCATCCAGGGAAATCTCACTCTTCCCCATCAGACCTCGCTTCAGCTTTCCAGTGATCTTTCTGGGTCTCTACCCCCAAGGATATCAGAGAGGCACCTTCCTGAAACTCTTTCAGATCTGGACTCAAAACCTTCATTCGAAGGGCCTTTAATTAAAGGGGTTCTGTTATACACCCCTCTGCTCAGACTGTATTCAATGCCCTCCATTCACTGTCCCTATCATTGTGTATTTTAATTGTTTCCTGGTTCCTGGTTCCTGTTCTGGGTTCTGGGTCAAGTGCTTTTGTTCTCTGCTGGTCACTGTAGGGGGTGATCGTGACTCTCTCTGGTCCTCAGCCCTCCTTGTTGTCTGGATGCCAGAAAGCAGATAAACTATCAAGCACGTTTCTTCCTTGATCTGTACGTCGCCATATTTATCTTGTTCTCTCACGTTTTTGTCCTCAACGAGAGGTGCCCTTATCCACTTCTCAGGGGTTTTGATAATGCTGATTTGGATCTTACGTCCCTGAACAAATCGGTTGCAGAATTAAGCGCCCAAATTCCCATAATTCCAAGGAGTCTGGGGTTTTCAGACGCATCTAAATCCTGAGTCATTTCAAATGGTATGGATCCGAACAGTCTTGACACAGATCAGGCACAGATACCAACTGCAGTATCATAAACTGCATCAGAGTGCTTCAGTAATTTTGAGAGGCTGGTTACCTGTCTATCTCTGTCTTCACAGAGAAGAAGAGAGTGGTGATGAGTGTGGGACTCCAATTGGAGAAAGGGATGAACCCTAATGACCCTGGAGTGAGAGAATACCTCTTAAACCGGGTAGGTGCTGCCAGCCTTCAGAGCCAGGAATCCTGATCAGGGTTTTTATGTGCTTGAGTGTGACAGGACTCATGTCTAACCTGGGTTAAGAGAGACCCCACTGAGTGTATTGAGTTGGCTAGTGTACAGTGTGTAGAATTATATATCTATAATCAGGACTGTGTGAATATTACTGGATCAGTGTACAGTGTGTAGAATTATATATCTATATAGATCAGGACTGTGTGAATATTACTGGATCAGTGTACAGTGTGGAGAATTATATATATATAATGATCAGGGCTGTGTGAATATTACTGGATCAGTGTACAGT